AGAGGGGTGGGGTGCGGGATGTGAAATTTAAAATTCAACTTGTTTGAGGTATCAACTAAGTCCACATGGACGAAATGCACCAGTCTGTGTGATTCAAGGATTGTAAATATAATCCAAATCTAAAGGAGAGAACAGCTTCAGAGCTTAAACTGTGGATACCTGGTCTGCAGGAAACTATGGAAGACAGTGGAAGCCCCAAATCCATTTGCAGACTCCACACATGGATGCAGCCTTCACAATAGAGGGATGTGAGTCGCCTTGCTGTTAGAGAGCATTGTAAAGTCAATTACGGCCGGCGCAGTGAGGTCAAAATGTAAGATCTTATTATTTGATCTCCCTTTGGCCTATTTTAAAAAGTTATTTCAGTTAAAAACAAAAAAGTGAAGAAATACATGTAGATTAAGCCACTGGGGAATCCCCTCTGATCGCAGACGAGGGATGTGAATGGCCTTGCTAACATGCAGAAAGAATTGGAAAGTGGATGCAGTGAAGTTAAAATTTACCAACCCATCATTTGACCTCACTTATGCTTCATTTTAATTTGCTCTAGTTTTTAATATTTTCTGCTATCTTTTCAATAGAGGTTTTTATCCGTTTTACTTTGCTATTGTTAGTAAGTTTTCTTTGTTTCTTTGCTTTGTAATGTTTTTCAGTATATGAAACCCAGGGTAGGTAAACCTACAGAGACAGTAACTGGATTGATGGTTCCATGGGAGTATAGCAGGGGAATTTTGGGGGGAATAGGGAGCTAATAATAATGAGGACAAGAATGAAGAAAAAGTTCTAAAACTAATTGTGGTGGTTATTGTATAACTCTTCTTGATATGATTGAATTATTGAATTCTATGATATGTGATTTATATTCCAATAAAACCGTTGGGAAAAAAGTTTGACTTGTAAGTTAAAATTCCTTTAAAGAGGGTAAGACCTTTAAAAATCTTTTGTTTATGGAGGTTTGTAATTGTTCGGGAGGAAGGGCTGTAAGATGAACAGAGGTGATCAATGTTAGTAAACAACTGGAGACATAGGCCAGGGAATGAAGATGAGGAATTGTCAACGGCAGTGGGAGAAAGCTCAAGGAGTAATTTTTTTTTAAGGGAAAGATACATGCTACAATATTGAACACTTCCTCCATTTCCTGGTGCAACAGTGTGTTGTTTATTGGGCTGCTAACTGCAAGGTTTGCAGTTCAAATTCACTTGCCACTCTATGGAAGGAAGATGAGGCTTTCTGGTCTTGTAAAAATGTATAACCTCAGACACAGTGGCAGTTCTATCCTGTCCTATAAGATGTCCACCAGTCAGAATTAACTTGGCAATCTGCTCTTAAAATTATTACAGCCCAAGAAACCCGAGGGCCGTTCTAAGATGTCCTAGAGTGTCACTCTGAATTAGAACCACGACAGCATAAGACAAAACACAAAGAGGAGGGTTTAAAATGGAGCATTTACTTTATCTGATAGAGATTCACAAAAGATCCCACTGGCTTCTATGAAAACTAAGCACAGTCGGAAGGGGAGAATGATATAATTGTTACCTCAAATCTATGAATTAAGTATAGTTATGTCACCTTTGTTTGTGTGAGTTGCACATCCTCTCACCATATTTATTCAGTCTGTATGCTGAACAAATACTTCATGAAATGGTACTATATGAAGAACAGGGCATCAGGATTGGGGGACGATTCATTAACAACCAGCAATGTATAGATGACACCTGGCTTGCTGAAAGCCAAGAGGACTTGAAGCAGTTACAAATAAAGATCAGAGAGTACAGTTTTTGATGTGGATTATAATTTGATGGAAAGAAAACAAAAATCCTCACAAATGAGCCCATGGACAACACTATGATGAAAGGAGAAAATAGTGATGTTGTCAAGAATCTCATTTTGGCCTACAATCAATCCTCCTGGAAGTGGTAGTCAAAAAACGGAAACAATGCATTGCATTTGGCTAATCCGAAGCACAAAATCTACTTCAAGTGCTAAAAGGCAAAGCCATTGCTTTGAGGACAAAGGTACTCCTGGCTCCAAGCCTTGGTCTTTTCAATTGCCTTATTTGCATGGGAGAGCTGGACAATGCAGAAGAAGACCACAGGAAAATGGATGCACTTGAATTCTGGTCTGGTGCAGACTGTCGCAAGTACCACAGAGTGTCGGGAGAACCGACTCCTCTCTCTCAGAGAAAATCCTGGCGTTTCACTTTCTGTTTCTCTGTGGTATTTTTCAGAGACAAATATTCTCGCTGGCTACAGATACATCTATGTTGGCTGCAGCAACTGCTTAAATATCTGCTTCTAACACTGTCTGAAGGACAAGGCTGAATTTCTGTCTTATCTCCATCTTTCTTTAGGGAGCAATGGTTAATTTGAGTATATGTCAGATCATAGCCCTGCTACATTTTACTAATGTCAATATTTTCACTATGTAATAGTACACAGCGCTATACCTGAAATCTTCCAGGCTGGCAGGGTGCTATTACAAAAGATTGCTTAATTGTAGATTACTGTTGTACATTTAAATTTCAGTAGCATATTAAGTTGTCAGACTTAATTACCGTTATATGTTTAGATTATGCCACAGATTATTTAGTTCAGTACCTATGTTTGCCAACCTGTTCTCCTTGCAACTTGACAGGGCAATAATTAGAGCATTATTGAAAAACCTAAAATTGTGTGTGAAGATGTCCAGGAACACTGCTGTTCTTACTTATCGCTCGGAGATTCTTCATTCGGATGCCCCCTACCTTGAATATCTCTTGAGGAAACACTGTGTAACTTAATATGTAGCTCATTGTGACCATGAGGATGTAGAAAATCCATCTATCCCACAGAAGGCTCAGAAGGTGTACTCAAGCATGATCTCTCAATACCACTGGCATTTTAGACTGAGTGATTATTTTCTTCTTTTTAAAATCATTTTATTAGGAGCTCATACAACTCTTATCACAATCCATACATACATCAATTGTGTAAAGCACATTTGTATATTCATTGCCCTCATCATTCTCAAAATGTTTGCTCTCCGCTTAAGCCCCCGACACCAGCTTCTCATTTTCCCCCTCCCTCTCCGCTCCCCCTCCCTCATGAGCCTTTATAATTTATAAATTATTATTTTGTCATATCTTGCTCTGTCCGATGTCTCCCTTCACCCACTTTTTGGGGGTAATTCTTTTCTTGTGGGCTTGTCCTGTGTACTGAATGATGTTTAGCAACATTCTTGCCCTCTATCCATTAGATACCAATAATTGTTACAACTAGAAATATCTCCAGATATTATCAGATTATCTCTGGGGGTCAAAATGGAACCTTTGGTCTAAGGTAGGGGGAAGGGAGGAGAAAGAAAAATTCTCATCAGTCTAATTTTGTAGCGCAGTGTCGAAGATCTTGTTTCTCCCTCTTGACAAAAGCTCACAATGCCTTATTCAACCTTTCGATTCTTGTAAGTAGGTATTTCAAATGCCACATCTTAAATAAGGTACAAGAGAAATATTCATGTAAAATGGAGCGAACATAAGAGGATTCAGAGGATGGGAAATTTCTAGGTACAAGCTGCAGGCAAAATCTAACCGACGTCATTGCCATTGAGTTGGTGCCAACTCCTAGTGACCCTATCGGACACGGTAGCACTGCCCCTGTGGGTTTCCAAGACTGTTGCTCTTTATGGGAGTAGAAGTCCCATCTGTCTCTCTCAGGGTGGCTGTGGGGTCAAATTGCTGACCGTGCTGACTTTGCAGTTAGGAGCCTAATTGTAACCACTATGACACTCTCTACCTGAAGCAATTGCTGGAGCTCTGCGTGAGGTGTTGTGCTCATGTGTCCCACTATACCCCAAACAAGCTCAGTCAATTCAGGATTAGCTCATGCAAAATGAAACCGTGACATTCTTAGAAGTTACAGGGTCCACGCTGTTAGGTTTCATTTTCAAAAGTGGATGTTCTAATATAATAATTATAAAAGCATAAACAGGAAAAGATAAATAAAAGGGACATCAAGAATTAAAATTTCTGTTTATCAAAAGACGTTAACAAAAATAAAAGTGAAAGACTAACAACTAAGAAAATATCTTTAGAAAATATGTATCTGAAAAGAATCTAATAACATTATAAATATATATGTATAATTTCTACATCTTCACAACAAAATGACAAATAACCAAGTCATAAAATTGGCAGAGGACATGACAAGACATTTCACCAAAGAAGACATAAAAATGACCTTCAAATGCATAACAAAAATGTCATTAGCTTTTGTGTGGAATGCTCAGTATATGTCTATGAGGTCATGTTGATTGATTGTGTTATTTATTTCTTCTGTGTCTTGTTGAGATTCTTTCCAGTTCTATATACTATTAAAAGTTTACTCTCCACTTTACCACGCATGAGGTCCTTTTCTAGGAATTGGTCTCTCCTAATAACATGTCCGAAGCACATGAAACACAGTCTCTTTCTATCCTCGCTTCTAAGGAGCATTCTGGCTGTACATTTTCCAAGGAGGATTTGCTTGTTCTTACTTCTATCCTCTTCTACCAACCCAATCATACATTTTTATAGCCAAACTCTAACCCATAACTAGACATTTTTATATTTTTGTTTTTGAATGAATTAATAAACAAATGAGAGCATGAATATCACTAGATATGTAGGAAACGAGAATTGAGATAACAGGTTTATATTTTTTAACCTGTATAAAAGATGAGATTTAAAAATAATAGAAGAGACGATTTATCCAAGCATTAACTATATAACTATATGGCTTGTGATGCCAACTAGCATATTCCACGTTCATCTTCAGTGAGCATCTTTATCTGTACATTGATAACATTGACATGCTCATTGATCATTCGTTTGCTATCCAATCACTAAGAGCTGTAAGTAGGCATATGCACACACATATTTGTGTGTAAGTACACACTACTATTGTGGAAATCTAAAAAAAATTTTCTTGTGGAAATATAGGCACTTCTTGTGGAAACAGGCATGGTCCTCATTGCTAAGCAAAGGATTTATGAGGCTGAACACCATAGCACTTCTATAGCTTTTCAGATTTGCTTAGCAAAGGAACGGCTCATACCTCTTGAGTATGGCTTTTTATCACACCTTGATATTCACAAAGTGCTTTGTTATTAGTTCTCTTTTTCAAACAATCTTGCAACAGTAGGTGCTGCTGTGAGGTTTCCTTGTCTAGTTAAGGTGTGTCAAATAGCTGGCTCCCTTCGCCCAGCAAAGGTTAGACAAGCTTATTGGTGTATTCCTGTGTCTCAAGAACTTTAGATTGTCCTCACCAGAGTCAGAGAGAGAGATTTTTCAGTTTCCCAATTTGGCTCATGATTATTTTTATCTGCAGCCATGATCACAGAAAACCTCACATGAAACTCCTTTGAGCTCTCCAAGCATCATCTAAAGTGGAATCACTGTGGCCAGTAATCCCTGGCCTAAAAACCAAAGCCGAAGATCAATTTGTCCTCAGAGAAATGGCCAGATGTAGGGGGTTTCATTCATTGTTCACTTCTATTTTGTGGATTGAAAATCTATTTAGATAAAGAAATATTCAGTGAATTGTACTTCCCTATTAAACTGAGTGGGAGTGCTGGTGGTGTAGTGCTTACTTGGTAGGCTGCTAATCTCAAATTCTGTTTGAGTCCACCAGCAGCTCGATTGGAGGATTTCTACTCCTGTAAAGACTTACAGCCATGGAACCCATGGGGGCAGTTTGACCTTGGCCTACAGGGTCACAATGAGTCATAATAGACTCAAAGGCATTGAGTTTGAATTTTGGTCATTAAGCTGAGTAGATAGCATTCAATTTTAAACATAGATTAATACAAAAGTCTTTTCTTGTTTGATGAAAATGTCAAAGTACAATTCTGTAGTGGAAGTTTATTCCAGGTATACTTGGAGCTATAGTAAAATATGTGAAAATTCCTTAAGAGTCCGGCTCAATGGCACATTTATTTCCATTCGGTTGTTATTAGGTGCCTTCCAGGTGGTACTGAATCATGGCAACATTCCAACAGAATGCAGCACTGTGCATGTCAGCCCCATCCACACAGCTGCTATGTTGGAGCCCATTGTAGCAGCTTACATGGCGATTCCTCTTACCGAGGGCCATCATCTCTTTCAGTGACCGTCTACCAAGCATGATGGCCTTCTCCAGGGACTGGTCACATGGCCAAAGTACCTAAGGACTTGAACCTATGTTGCACCACCCTCATTTCTCAGGAGCATCTAACGTCTAAGATTTTTTCATAGTTCAAGAGGATCAATGAATTCTTCTGTAACTCCCTTATTTACTGTCCAGCTTTTCCATGCTCATGAACCAATTAAAAATATCATAGCTTCACTCAGACAAAACTTAGTCCTCAAAGTGTCAGCTTTGTTCTTTAATATTTTTAAAGGTCACGTGCAGAAAATGTGCCCAATTCAATAGGCAATTTTAGGAACTTTCTAGAGGAGCCTCGGTGGCATGGTGGGTTATGAATTGGGCTGCTAACCGGAAGGTCAGCAGTTTGAAACCACTCGTCACTCTATGGGAGAAAGATGAAGCGTTCTACTCCCATAGAGTTATAGTCTTAGAAACTCACAGGGGCAGCTCTACCCTGTCTCAGGTCACTGTGAGTTAGAATCTACTTGATGGCACTTAGTTTAATTTTTTATTTTCTAGTGGTGCAGCAGGTTAAGCAGTTGGCTTCTTACCAAACATTTGGTGGTTAGGAAAATCTCATGAGAGTCTAATTCCATAAAATTACAGCTTTGAAACCCCATGTTTAGATTTTAATGTGTCCTACAGTGTGACAATGAGTCGGAATCACAGGTGTTGTTAGGGCTGCTAGGTTTATGGATGGAGCTAACAGTTCGGATTTGACTACTAATCTGAAATTGGTGATTTGAACCCACCCAGTGGTGTTACAGAAGAAAGTCCTGGTACCCTGCCACTGGTAAATTGTAAGCAAGAAAATCCTGTGGGACAGTTCTACTCTGGAACCCATGGCTGCTATGAGTCAGAATCGACTTGCTCTGATCAGGCCTCGTTTGGTTTTTGGCTAAGTGGCACTAGTTGTACTAGGCACTAAGAGCAGCATGGATGCCCAGAAGGCATGGCCTCTGTCCTGAGAGCTTCCTGCTTCTTTCTCAGACGCTCTTTCTAATCTAAAGCTAAAATATATTTGTATCTTACAAAAGTTAGGAGGGACCTCAATTATTATTTCCTCAAAACATGTATATTTCAGCACTTTGAAAACTGGAAGAGAATTATACTTTATTTTCTCAACCATAAAGTCAGGAATAGAAACTTGGACGTGTTTATGATTCAATAAATATTGATTAATAATAGTAGTAGTAATATAATTACAATGATAATACCACTTGCTATGTTCGTGTGATTAATAGCAACAATAACAGTAACACTTCCTATACTATGATTTTCCTTAAAATGCTAAAACAATAGCATGTGCTTTCCATTTAGAAGATGGAGAGAGTTTTTCATTTGACTTAGAACTCCGGAAAAGACTGGAAGGCTCTTCCTAGTACAGAACACATAAGAGTTGGGAGGGGTCCTAAAGATATCTGCCTCAGTCTCTCTTTCTTCCCATAATTTAAATGCTTGAAAAAGAAGTCAGTTCTCCTGCCTTATTCCATTCCCCAAGCTTTGTCTTGTTCTTACGCATCATGGAGGGCGCTGGGGCAGAGCAGCTTATCCGTAGGGCGCCGATGTTCAGGGTAGCCATGATGGTCTCTGTGTCCACCGGCATCTGGCTGAGCGAATGCTTGTAGGGTGGGGACAAGACAGCACACATGGAGCATTCCTGCACGTTGGCTGCGTGGAGGTCACCGGAGTAGAGTGCAGAACCCTAAAAGGAAGTCAGAAAGAGGAGAGACAGCGCTCAGCAGGCGCAAAGATTTCACATCATGGCTCTATGGGTGTTCTGCTTGTGAGTGACAGAGTCCCCGCCTCAGACTGCTCCAGTCCCCCTGATTGGTTGTAAAGCTTAGTTTCCTGATGCCCAAGACATTTGGTGTTATCAATTATTAATATGTTAGTTTGAGTAGGTTTCACACACTCTTTCCTAGGACAAGTCTTGCTGAATCAAAGGAGGCTCGTAGGCCCAGTGCGATTACCGAAGTGGGAGAAGAGAAATGGATGACGGATGGTGGTGGTGAGGAAACAATTCAGGAAAAGAGGAGGGTGTGTATCTAAAGGAATATGAGTAATTCTCACACTTGTGTTACTGGCTCACACTGATTTTATTTTCTGGATGAATTAGCATAATGGGGAAGAAATTGTGATAGGCAATGTGAGGAAACTTGGATTCTGAAATGGTTGATTCCTAATACTAACTGGATCTGGAGACTGCGGATCATTTTCTTTATCACGCTATGCTCTGGACTGAAGCAAGGGAGTGGAGACAGGGAACACTGTAATGGCAATGACATGCTTTCATGTACTTCACAAATGCATACAACAAATTTTTCATTCAAGGAAATGGCATAGGGTGGGCTGATGTCTGATGAGGATTTAGTACAAATAGAACTATTATAATACCAGATATGCACAACCAATCTATTTCTCAACAATGTAACTTTAATTCTTCTTCTTCACATATCAGGCAGCATTGTGTTCTCCATCAGAAAAAATGAGAAAGAGCACCAAACGTAATCAGAATTAGCCTGTTTTCCATGAAGTCAGAAAAACTTTCAGAAGACACTCATATATGTAGAAAGGTCATAGCATGTGGAGTAATTCTGATTCATCAACTACAAGATGTGGATTTAAGCCTAGATCCATTACTCACTATCTGTGTCATCCAGACAGGATATTTGCTCCCTCTATCCCTAAATCTACCATCTTCAATGTAATCAGGATCCCGGATGGTGTAGTGGTTACTTGTTGGGCTGAGATCTACACGGTCAGCAGTTTGAAACTCACCAGCAGCTCCGTGCAATAAAGAGTGGGCCTTTCACTCCCATGAACAGATATAGTCTCGGTAACCTACAGGTGGGGTTCACTATAAGTTGTCATTGATTCAATAGTAGTGTGTTTGGTTTTGGCTTAAATGTAATAACTCAAAAGTGCTATTTTGAGGATTAAATGAGTTAATATGTATAAAATGTTTAGAATCATTTCGGGCATGCAGCAAACACTATATAACTGCAAGCTGTCATTACTATGACTATTACTAGTGTTAGTGTTATTATCATTGTAAGTATTCACTATCTCTCACGGGACACTGACAGGCAAAATGTATATCTGGGGAAAATTCCGGAGAAATCGCCATTCTCTCTGTAGGTAATCCAGCGATCCAATGAACACGATGTCCTTGAGTTCATTCAGGGTGTAGTTGCTGGCTCTCAGTGGCATTACGAAGTTCCGAAGCCCCATCAAAGTGGAGTGAGCGTCTCCAAAGACACACGCGACAACGTGATTTCGAAATTCAGTTTTCTTGTCAGATCGTTTCTAAAGCATAAGCACGTCAGAGTCAGGAACGTTTTAGAAACATGATGAGAGGCCCTCTAGGAGGGAACACCCCCTTCCCCCAATTGCTACCTTTCTGGATGCATTGACATGCAGCACCTTTGTAAGTCTACTATAATTTTACAGGTATCTTATAGAAGTAAAACTTATGCGTAAGTGGGATGAATATGCCTTTTCGTGGAGTCTGTTTTTTCTCGGTTTTTTGAAAAGTTATCAATTGCTTCAATTAATACTCAAATTAATATCATTAGGGTGTTATGTCAGTAGACTGAATGAGGAAAATAGCTCTGATTTTCCTTATATGTTGTTAGTCTTATTATGTACACTAGTATGATTCAGTGAAAATATTAAACATCCTAAATTATAATCCTAAACTCGTCTTTGAGCACTAGGCATCAAGTTGGGCTACATATTTCATGTTTCAGTGGTTCTTCAGACGAAAATTTGAATCAAATGAAATTGCAGTTTGGGGATCAAAAATGGTGGAATACTGGCAATGTCTTGTGGGTCAACCCCTTACACGGAATTAACTCCATAGACGCCAGTCAGGGACACTCATTATGCAAAGCGCCCGAAAGAAATGGAAAGTTATAAAAATTTTTATTGATCCCTTTGCTTGACTCTATTTCATACTGGTATCAGTATTAACAATTTTGAACATTTCCTCTACATCTGTAAGTTGAAGACAAAATAATACAGAGGACCTATTCAGATTAGGTTTTGTCAATATTCATATGTATTCATGATTATAATATATAGAACATTTTTAAATGATGAAAAATTTCTGAAGCCTGCTTTAGTTTCATTTTAGGGAATGCACCATTATAATAGGATAAGTAAAGGAATGCAATGAGAAGAGCTAGTTTTGTATTCTGCTTCAGTCAACTGTCACCTTCGTGATGCTGAGCAAATTATGTCATTGCTCTGACCCTCAACTTACTTACACTTTGAAAGGTTAAAAACAAAAAAAAACATAATACAAGTTAATTTTGTTGTGAAACTGAGTAAATATGGAAAATTAAAAGCTCAACTCATTTAAGTCATTTAACAACTATTGATCAGTTCTGAATCTTATCAAAGTTCTTTGATTGTCAAAGCATGACACTTGGAAACTAGCAAATAGCCCGAGGCCTCTTTTGAAAAGTTCTTCATGTGTGAGTGTGTGTCGCATTCCTGGGCAGAAGAAGATGCAGGTTTCCAATGGAACTTTCATTTTTCCTTCAGTTCAGCCTTCACTTGGTTAAAAGACAAGTTTCTCAGAGAGGAGGTTAGTGACATCTAACAGCTGACATCTAAGTTATTACAGTCAGTCAAATTAGAATGCACGCATATGGGGAAATACTCTCTTTCCAAAGGGTTTCTTCCTATTAGGAGAAATAATGCTACCTGTCTGAAGAGCTTTCGTAGAGAGTGATTTGAATCCTCACCAAACCTATTAAATTATTTTCTCCAGCGAATCCAATAAGTTTTAACTTGAATAATAAAGCCCCCAAGGGCATTTAATGTAACCTGCCTAAAGTCCAACAATAGCTCTTCAGAGAAGCACTAAACAATTAGAGACAAGGTGCACGGCATCAAGCATGAATGGGCACAGTTAAAGAGGCAATTTCTCCAAGACACTGTGGCATTGAACTATCTCCCAATTGAGAAAGATGGTGACTTTGGGGCAAAGGGAACAGGAACTCTTTATTCAAAGTAACTTAAAGTTACCGCTGTCATTTGATGCTAAGGCCAATTAAACTAATTTCAAAGTTTTCCCAGGTATTGCAATCTGGAAATCTCTTCCTAGGGTGGCCAATCTGAAAATCCTTAGAATTCCTAAGACTGGAAGACCATTTAAACTTATTTTAAAAATCGGGTAATATTTGGAATTACATTTCACATCAAGAATCATAAAGGGCATATCTAACTGTGTGCATAGTAACTATGACCCAATAAAAATTCTATTATTTCCACTCCTAGGTTTTGGGGATGCTTCAATCTGTAATCAACTTCTCAACATTTCCATACATTGACTTTCCCCGGAAAACATGTTTGGGTTCCTGCTGAACGGATGTTTATTTTGCTTAGTTCAGAATAAGACATAATTGCTAAAATGGCAAGTTTCCACAGCCTTACCAATCTTTGTGTTGATATGACAGCTCTGACAGTTTCATGCTTCTGATCAAATGATTGATCATACTTTTACAAAAATTGGAACATGGTGTGTCAAAAAACTGGCACTGAGCCACAAGGAAGTTGTCAGTGTGTGCTTGTGTGTGTGTGTGTGTGTGTGTGTGTGTGTGTGTGTGTAACAGGAAAAGAGAACTAAACTACTTTTGGGAAATAGTAAAAACATTTCATCACCAGCGAATCATAGATGTGACTGCATAGGGTACATACAGGATATGGGTAATTGCTTTGGTTAATTAAATTTTGAAATTACCGACTGTAAAGTGTAATACTGAGATTATATTTGAGTTTTTAGCTCCGGCAAGTGGGAATAGATGGGAATTGAGGCAGCAGGTGTCAGACCTGGATTAAGATACAAGACTATTTACATCTTGATTGCATGTATTTTAGTAGTTGAGTTAGCTTGTCTCCTTAAGAAAATAGAAATAGGAGCAAACTGTACTATCTGTATGGATTCCCTCAGTTTGAATGGAGTTGAGTTTCTAAGACATGTTCTTGGCTAACGTGTGAAATTAAGTGGAGTGTGTTCAACGTAGAAGAAAAGTGGGGTGGTGGGAGAAGCACTATAGAAAATCCAGTCTTTGAAACCCAAATATTAAAGTAATGCTTGTTCATTCTAAAAAAGGAAAAGCTACGTTCTTAGAAATAGAAGGTGTCCCTGGTGCATTTACCTTAATTAAATGTACTAGCAAAATGATGAAGTTTCAAGAGAACATTTTTCTGAATAAATGAGTCAGCTGAATTGTTAAAGGAGAGAAGAAGCAGTTGATGTGTGTACGTGTTTCAAATCTCAGCATATTATCCACATAGGCCTTCTAGCAAGAGCCACAGCTGTGACTGCACTCTTACCCACAACATCGAATCAGGTGAGGTCTGTGCTTTTCTTTCAACATTCAGTTCCCGAAGCAGAAAGGGCACCTGCTTATGACTGAGGAAAGGATGCCATTTTCCCTAAGAGATGTTTCGTTGTCTTAGAGATATCATGCAAGGTCACCTACCAGAATCACCTTGTCAAAAGGGGTTGCTTTGCACCAGTGAAACATGCCACTGGTATCAAATCTCCAATGATGGTGGTCATTTTCATTATGAATATTCCTAAAGAGGAAGAATGGAAAATTAGTCTGAGAACATGCGGGGCTCCAGTGCAAGAAATCCAGACCGTGGAACTCACTAGATCCTTGGACCCAACGTGGAAAATAATTTTTTTTAAAAATCTCAGGCCTGTGAGAATCAAGAATCATGGCTGGTGTCCAAAGGGCGCTAAGAACTAAATGGCCAGACTTTAAGTACTTGGGAAAACCACAGAAGTCCACTGAGAGTGGGCCACACAACTAACTCTTCCCAGTGAAATATTGGACAGAAATGACAGTTGAGATAGCAAAAAACCCCAGTTTGACCCTTCTGGTTTTCTCATAAGCAGCCCTAGAGACGATCAATCCGGGTACCTGGGTCCCTACACGGAGCAGAGTGCCCTGTCCCGTGGGACATGCACCATGAACAAAAAATAAATGTGTTCACCCATTGAGATTTCTGTGCTGTTGCCACAGTAAAAACCTAGCTTACCCCAAATTAATACAATTTCCCAAACCCTTTTCCATGGAGTATTAGTACCTAGAGAAGCTGGAGGGAATATCTTCTCTGGTTTGACAGACATGGAAAAAAGCAGCCCCTCTTTAAGAGTCATGCTGTACTGTAGCCTAGGGCAGGTCTGCAAAGTCTCGAGATAAAAGTCAATCCACGCAGACCTGTTATCTAGGGGTCGACTCCTACTCATAGCGACCCTGCAGAACCGAGTAGAACTGCTGCTTGGGGCTTCTGAGCTATCACACTTCCAGACAGACTGCCTACCTTTCTCCCTCAGAGCTGCTGATGATTGGTAATTCCTTAGCAATCTTCCTGTTAGCAGTCCAATGCCTCCCCCACTTCCCCATCAGAGCTCTAAATCAGTGCTTTCCAAACGTACTTGACAAAAAAGTTTTCCCCATCTATTTATGTATAGAGCTCTGGAGTGCGGCGAGTTAAGCGTTGGGTTACTAACACAAAGGTAGGCAGTTCGAACCCACCAATCGCTCTGTGGGAGAAAGGGGATGCAAGGTAGCCTGACTAAATGACTGACTAGTTAACACATCTTTTGATGGTTTAAAGAGTCATAAGCTACAAGCCCCAACAGAGAACCCAAAGAACCAGATGCTTTCTCAATGGGATGAGACAGGACCCTGAAGATGGCTTTATGCCAAATCTGTCACGGCCCCTCTCCAGGAATGCACCTACGACCTTAGTCTGGTATTGATATTTACCAAACATGGATGACTTTACAATGGTACTAGTTCATAGAACTTTCTTTCCCTTCCTGCTTAGTTTCCTAAACATTATCTCCCTGAATTCTCAAGACATGTATACAGTATAGTCACCCAAGTTGTTGGTGTCTGCCCTTCATGGACACTTTGAAAACCATTTGGAAATCACTTTCTTCCGCTAGAGAAAAGGGATTTTCTGTCCGCTCTTCTTAGGATCCAAGTCTATAACTCTTGCTACTACTTTTCCCCTGTCACTTCCTTCAGCTATTTCCTACTTTCCTTTTCCCCTCCTCTCCCTCAATAATGAATGAGGAGTCTTGGTCTGGTGATTACACGCTCCTTTGGCAAATGGAATATGATCTTCTCACAAGCACATTTTAACTGGCTTCAGAATAGCAAATCAATCACTGTACACTTTCCTATTGTAATAAAAGTATGATCTATGTACACAAGCTGTCATAGACAACATCTTTCTTCGTTCTGATATGATGGAAAACAGATACGCCTTGGAGAAAACACCTGTTGGAGACCTGCCTTAGAGAACAAGCTGGAATAGATCCTCTTCATCATAAAGGCATCCATCTGGTGTCCTTGCCACAGCCAAACCTGATGTGATTTAGATCATCATCCCTTAGCTACAGCTGCCTTCTGCCATATACTTTGCAAATGACATGATCCTTGAAGAAATATACCTACCTAAAGAGACGCATACGTCACCCAGGAGAATGCTTAGCACTAGCATTCTTAGAACTTGGAGCCAAAAAATAGAATCCAAAGGCCACTGGAGGAAAAGGGAGCCGGGGGCATCATCCATATCATTTGGGGGCGGGGCACATCTTGCATACAGATAGAAGCCTCTTGGGTGAGCTCTGGTGAGTGTGGGAGAGTTTGGCAAAACTGTGGTGATGGTTATCTGGGATATATTTGGAGTGAGGGTGAGATTGTTTCCTTGAGTCCCAAGATATGCCTCTATGTCCACAGCAACAGTATGGCACTCAGCATGGGAGGATCCAGGGAGATACAAAATTCAGAAATGTTTTCATTTAAAGTCTCTCTGTCTTCATTCCACCTCTGGAAGTCGATAGGTAAAGTGTTGTTGGGTGAGAAATTTTGCAACCAATCCACTTAAAATAAAGACTCAAGGCTTTGTTCTAAAGCATGGCTTTATTCTGTATAAAGTCAAAGTCTTGTGAGAACCTGCTTCAAGTGCCCCGGCTCAGGAATGCAGGCACTTCCCTTTTTGCTTTCTAGAATTGTTCTTAAAGAGAACTTTTACTCTTCAGTATTTACAGCAATGTGGCCTGTATGGAGTCTGCTTTTTAAGGGAAGATACAGATGAAAACATCCATGCTTTTGTTTCTTGATGGAGACATCTGATTAAAAAGAGCCTTAGCCAAATAAGAGAACTCCAATCAAGAAGGGGAGGTAGATTTCATAATGTTAACTCCAGAAGCATCATTCCTAAGCGTATACGTTTATCGCTGTTATTTCCTTCACTTTACAGATTTGATGTGAGGATTCTTGAAAATGATCTTTCAAGGACTAGGATCTGCTGCTATTCACAAGACCTGCTATCCAGTTTGGAAAGCAACTACATTCCCTGTTTCTTGCACAGGCTCCCTGATCGGACATGTGACGGAATCCTGGTCTTGTGTCTATTCCACTGGGAATCTCATTAAAAGACCACAGGAGACTTGCAAAATCTTACCAAAGAGATTTTTCCCATCAATATAGAACAGTAGATATTTTGCTTAAGAGTTAAATGAAACAAAAATTGCAAGTTTCATAAAGCTTTAGCAAAGGGAGCACCAGTCTGCTGGCTGAGGACTGGTCAAGCAGGGAGGAGCAGATTTGGGTGTCCTGGACTTTCAGGGCCCTACTGAATATCTGCAAAATTCACTAAAATGGTCTCTTTAAGGAATGCTCAATTCCCACTTAAAAAAAAAAGCGGGGGGATCCTTTAAGCAAGGGCACCTTTGGTAGCGCTGTCCGTTTTGCCTTGTGAAGTTGACACCTGCCTTTGCTCCAGGGCCATTGTCCGTATTAACAAGGCACTTCAATCCACACGTGACTTGGAAATATTGTTTTACTGTTCCCATTTGACTTTCACTTTGTGTGTTCGAGGTCAGGGCAATTTACCTCAACCTTTGGGAATATGAGGACAGATTGTATTAATAGTGCCCTCCTGGTCCCTCCTGCTTTACGCCATCTCTCTTCCTGCCTCTTGCATGCACACGTGAGCACGTACACGCACCTGTGCACATATCATAGTCAGATTGTAGAATAGGACCCTGATGTCTCTGGTCACATGACTGCTTCCTTTCTTTGGGTCACACCTGGCTGTCATGTATTCATGACAAGGCATTCATTTTACCCTGAGAGATAGTTGAGGTTTATACAATTGGATACTTTTCTTATTTTTCATAATCCCCTCCCCACCGAGGAATCTGAGTATGAGAAAGCTGGAAATGGATCCTGCGAGCTCTGAGAAACTCGCAGGACTGCGCAACCCATGGAAGAGTCTGAGGAGGGTGATGAAGACGAAGCACCTTCCCTTTAGAAGGACCTTAACCATCACAGCTGTTCACAGCTAGGCTCTGTGCCTTCCCCCCACCTTGACCTGATGCCCTGGCTGAGGATGTTTGACTGAGTAACACGGCAGAAAACCGGCCACGGAATCTCATTAGATCTCACAAGATGTTGACAATAGGATGGCTATTGACCGATCCCATGCCCTCACGGCCCTCATCTGGAAAAAGCTTAGGACACTCTTCTAGAAGGAAGGTTTGTTACAATGACCAACTCCTGGGGTATCCCTGGAGTTCAGGTTTTGTGATGCATGAGAGTTTCAGTGCTAAGCTAGGTCATGTTGCTGCCAGGACACTGCTCCCTGCTAATTGAGAATAAAACACTTGAAACAGGACATGCAGAAGACCTTTCCTACTTCCACACTCTGCCCAGAGAACGCTTCCCACCTTTGATGCTTTAAATGAGTTTTGCTAATGTTCCACGGAAGAAAGGGCAGCTGAGTGGTCATGCCCTGCATTTGTAAAACAACCAGTTTCTAGTCAATTACATTTTCCAATTTCTCTCTGATTTTTGGTCTTTCCTGATTTTTTGCGTAAAGACAGTCCTTGAAAGTCATTTTGGAATAATAAACTTTAATAGCAAAGTTTGTAGGCATGATAAAAAAATCTTTAAATAACATTTTAAAATGTGTATGACCACTCAGACATAGCATTGTCTTCAGTGTAATCTTATTTCAGAATTTAGAGAATACAAACTGTGTTCTAAGGTAAACCAAATCAGCTGTGAAAGAGGGTTCGATTTGCCTTTAGATTCTACTTTCCAGATGGTTTCTATCAAAACCTTAGCCTCTGTTTTTGACATTTCCCATTTAAAATCTCCACGAAGACATTTTTTTTACCTTCATGGTTAGATATTAGACCTGAGTTCACAGTGGGCCCAGCCTAGGTGAGCCAAGAATGGAATGGTTTTACCATTAAATAAACAGCATCTGAGCATCTCCCTCCTAAGCGATGCTTTATTTTTAATAAGTAGAAACTGATATTTTTTCATAGCATTTCCCATGAAAACATGAATGTGCACATCTCTGAACTTAAAGTGTTAGCAGATGGAATCTCAAGGAGAAAGATAAAATGATAATTCCCTTCTTCCTCACACATTCCCTCCACAAACCCCATTTCAATCCTTTTGTATTTTATGGATATTGCACTTGGGATTTCCCAGTGTGAACACAAATGCAGCATGACCTGCAAGCAGCCTACATCTTTAATA